GTGGGTGTGGGTGTGGGTGGGTGGGCGTTAGTGTGGGTGGGTAGGTGTGGGTGTGGGTGTGGGTGTGGGTGGGTGTGGGTGGGTGTGGGTGTCATTCTTCTCTTTAATCACATCCACATCCACACCCCACACCCACACCAATTACCACAAATAAACCACACAGCATACTTCGTATGGGTACTACACAATACCCACAAAAACTAAAAGCTCGGAAAACTTTTATTTCCCTTTCATATTTGATGGTATCCGAATGAAGGAAAAAAATACAGAACCATATAAACAGGAATGCGCAACAAAAGTCAAAGCTTATATCTTTAGCAGCAATTGTCGTTACATTCACATAGAGGAATATCTTCCAGTATTTTGTTAACATTTTAGCATCGTTATCAAAATCTTCACGTGAACAAATATCCCACCACCAGTGAATATATGTCATAAAAGTTCTAGCCACTACTTTCGCTTACTTCTAATAAAACTTGCGAATTCATCAGCTTAGTGTATATCACCTCGAAAATGAATATTTTTCAGAACCTTCCCGCTTCTCTATTTTTCTATTTTGTTCACTTCGAAGCATCATTTACGTGTTGGTCGGCTCATGCAACATCATATGGAACACGAATATTGCTAACGATGAGACTCCTCAGCTCTTTTCATCAATTTGAAGCACAACTTCCCAGCTGCTTGACTCATCGAACATCACGTGAAAAACGAATCGATTTTTGCCAACAAGTCGGTACATTTCTTTTGCTTACTTCGAAGCATAGCTTTCGAGTTGTCCAGCTGAACAAACATCATATAGAAAATGCATCCATTTTTGCCAACCATTTCATGCATCAATTTTGGTTACTCGGAAGCAAAATCTGCGACTTCCTCAACTTATCGAACATCACATCGCAAATGGATATTTCTCATAACTATTTTGTTCACCTCTTTTACTCTGTTCAAAGCAAAGCTAGCGAGCTGGTCAGCTCACCGAACATATATGAAACATGAATAGATCTCAGAAGTGTTTCATTCACCTTTTCGCTCACTACCAAGCACAGCATGTGTGTCAGTCACCCACCGAACACCATGTGGAAAATAAATACTTCTCAGTACCGTTCCGTTCACATATTTTCTTCACTTCAAAGCACAGCTAGCGAGTTGCTCTCATTGCCAAACATCACATAGAAAATGAATATTTCGAAGGACTGTTCTGCTCACCATCTTTACTACCTTCAAAGCACAGCTGGCGAGTTTCTCCGCTTGTCGAATCTCCGATGGAAAATGAATATTTCTCAAGACCGTTATATTCACCTCTCTTTCGTATTTTGAAGTACAACTTGCGCCTCCCTCAGTTCATCCAACACCATATACAAAGTGAATATTTCTCAGCACTGATCTGTTCACTTCTTTTGCTTACTGCGAAGCACAGCTTGTGAGTTCGGTAGCTGATAGAACGTCAAATGGAAAATCAATACCTCTAACCAAGATTCTATTCAGCTCTTTTGCTCACTTCGAAGCATAGCTTACCACTTGGTGAACTCATCGAATATTATATAGAAAATGAATGTCACTCAGCACTGTTCTGTTCACCTCTTTAACTTACTGCAAAGCACAACTTGCGAGTTCGTTAGCTGATAGAACGTTACATGGAAAATCAATATCTCTAACCAAGATTCTATTCAGCTCTTTTGCTCACTTCGAAGCACAGCTTACCGCGTGGTGAACTTATCGAATATTATATAGAAAATGAATATTTCTGAAGAGCGTTCTGTTCACGTCTTTTCCTCCCTTCCAAGCATAGCTTGCTAGTTGGTCAGCTGATTAAACTTTATATGGAAAATGAATGTTATTAACCAAAGTTCTGTTCACTTCTTTGAATAACTTTAAAGAACAGCTGCGAGGTGGTCAGCGTATGGAACATCATATCGAAAATGAATATTTATCATCACTCTTCTGTTCACCTGTTTTGCAAATTTATAAACACAGCTTGCGAGTTCGTTAGGTCATCAAGCATCATGTAGAAAAATGAATACTTCTCAAAACTGTTATGTGCACCTGTCTTGCTTATGTCGAGGCACGGCTCGCGTGTTAATCAGTTTATCTAACATTGTGTGTAAAATAAATATCTCCCAGTACCGTTTTGTTCACCTCTTTGGTTGACTTCAAAGAATACCTTACGCGTTGATCAGCTCACAGAACTTCATATGGATAATCAATATCCGTAACCAAGGTTCTGTTCACCTCTTTTGCTCACTTCGAAGCATAGTTTGTGAGTTGGTCAGCTCCTCTAACATCATATGGAAAATGAATACTTCTAAAAACTATTCTGTTCACATCTTTTGGTCACTTCGAAGCAGGGCTTGCGAGTTGCTTCGCTCATCGAGCAATATACGGAAAATGAAAGTTTCTGAAGATCACTCTGTTCACCTGTTTTGCTCGCTGCAAAGCACAACTTGCGAATTGATCAGGTCATCGAACATCATATAGAAAATGAAAATTTCTGAAGACTGCTCTGTTCACCTGTGTTGCTCACTTCGAAGCACAGGTTGCGAGTTGACCAGGTCATCGAACATCATATGAAAAATGAATATTTCTTAGTACCGTTCTATTCAGCTCTTTTGTTCATCACAAAGCACAGTATGCAAGTTGCTCAGCGTATCCAACATTGTATGAAAAATGAGTTATTCTCAAAATTGTTCTGTTTACATCTTGTGTCCATGTCAAAGTACAGCTGGTGAGTTACTCCACCCATCGAACATAACGTGGAAAATGAACATTTCTAACCAAGATTCTGTTCATCTCTTTTACTCACTTGAAAGCACAAGTTGTGCGTGAGTGAACTGGTCGAGCGTTGCATGGAAAATAAATATTTTCTAGAACTGTTCTATTCATCTGTTTCACTTACTTCAAACACAGCTTGTGAACTGGTTAGCTGGTCGAACATCATATGGAAAATGAATATTTCTCATAACTGTTGCGTTGACCTCTTTTGCTCACCGGAAAGCACATATTGCGAGTTGACCAGGTCATCGAACATCATATGGAAAGCGAATATTTCTCAATACCGCTCTATTCAGCTCTTTTGTTCACCATGAAGCGCAGCTTGTGAGCTGCTCAGCTCATCGAAGATCATATGGAAAATAAATATTTCTCATAACTGATCTATTCACTTTTGTTGCTCGCTTTGAATCACAGCTTGGGAGTTTGTGAACTGATCGAACATCAATTGAGAGGCGACCATATCTCATAACTGCTCCGTTGACCTCTTTTGCTCACGTCGAAATATAGGGTATGTGTTGGTCAGCTCATGAAACATTATGTAGAAAATGAATATGTCACAGAACTGTTCAGGTGACCTCGTTTATTCATTGAAAATTAAAGCTTGTGAGGTGATTAGCTCATCGAACATCAGGTGAAAAATGAATATCGCTTAGTACTGTTCTTTTCACCTGTTTTGCTCGCTTCGAAGTACAGCTTGCGTGGTGGTAAGCTCATCGAGCAGCATGTAAAAAATGAATATTTCTAACCAAGGTTCTGTTCACCTCGTTTGGTCACTACAAATCAGAGCTTACGAGGTGATCAACTATGTTTAGATGTGGTACATTTGAATATTTATAATTACAGATGGCAATGTTGTATTTGTCTTTTCTGTGTATTTTGAAGCATAGAGCTCGAGGAGACAATTGCCTCAAGATCATATAGCGGATGAATACTTACAATCAAATTTCGGCTCTAATATTGCAATCACATTGAAGCAACGAACGTTCATTATCCGGTGAACCAAAGATCATGTCACTAACGAACGATTTCTACCACTATTACATCATTCTATCACATGATTTATGTCGAAAACTCTTACTTCATAAACTAATTAGAAATCATACGACAATAAAACAGTCACTACGCATGTTCAGTTTACTTTTTTTTTTCATTGGAAACAAAAGTACCTACCAGATCGTCGGATCAAATACTGCACAATAAATGAATAGACAGTTTCTCATGATTTCATTCTGTTTTTTCATGAATTCAAACTTAGATGTCATTTTATTTAGTTGATCACAGACAACAAAATACATGAAAACTTCAATAAGATGTTTATTTATCTATTTGCTTAAATGCAATCAAAAATCAAGATAGTTTTACTGATTAACAACGACACAGAAAATGAATAATCATGATATTGATTATCCACTTTTCTCATCCACTCAATAGCAAAACGAATGTCCTGGTAGAAGACTAAGAACTTACAGAATACGTGAATAACCATTTGTTTTATATCATCTTTTCGATTTTTTAGCCCGTTTAGTTAAAAGTTGCAGTCCATTAAACTAATCGAAGATCGTGTGATGTCCGAATAATTGCAATTTC